CAGACAGAAAGAAACCCCTCACCTCAGAATCAGTAATACAGGGAGAGAGAAGAGTCCCAAGAATGACAGAAACTTGACTCCTGGCACTGTAATCTAAAATAGTGGTACAGATGGCACAGTAAGTCTATACTGTAGAGTTCCACACCAAATACTATCTACTCAGGCTCCTTGGATTCTACAGCACTCTATGCCACCCCCATGGCCCTTCACAGGTAATTCCCACCAGGTCAGAAACACAGTATGAAATATGGAAAATTGCCTCATATATTACATGCCCCTGATTTTGTTGTGGTCTAAATTTCTTACTGGAGGGGGGGAAAGAAAAATCAATCTATAGTAGCATGGCCTGGACTAACAGCACCCAGACTCCACTAGGTATCAGTGCACCAGTTACCCAATATCCACAATTCCCACATGCTGTTGAAGGGGTGACATCTGAGACTGTACATGTGCTGTCACAGGTAAAGAAGTCTGAAAATCATGTTATGTTTCTACTTTCAAATGAAGAAACAGACCGCTATTTCACAAGCCAGAGGATGGCACTGAGCAAAGAGAACGCCAGCCTAAGGTTGCTTCCCCTCAAACCATGACTAATTGAGATCCAGAAAGGAAAAAGTGGTTATGGATTTTATCTACGGATGGAACAAAATACTGGTGGTAAGATCCAAGTTAACACACAGACCATGACCTGTGCTGCACCTTATCTTCCCATATGATGTTTGCAGCCCTCATTCTCTTTGGCTTCTTACTGGCCATCTGGAAATGCTCAGGGAAAACAGCCTCAACCGCAAGTGCAATTTTGACCATTTACCTTTGCCATGCTTTTTAATGCCTTTAAAACTCACCAAGCTCTGCCTTCACAGGAATCTTTCTCCCCTTTTTATCTTAGAGCATGTAATCAAAGATGTTAATTCTGGAAGCCCAGCAGCCATGGCTGGTCTAAAGGACAATGACATCTTAGTGGCTGTCAATGGTGAGCGCGTGGATGGGCTGGATCATGAAAGCGTAGTGGGAAAAATTAAGCAGTCTGAGGAAAGAACTTCCCTGTTGGTGGTGGATAAGGAAACTGACAGCATGTACAAACTGGTAAGAAAATGCAAACTACTGCTAGGAATTGATAATTTATCACAATGAAATAGCCAATCTGCTCTGATGCTTTTTCAACTTGCAGGAAATATCCAAGAGATACCTGTATTCCAGCAACTCCACTTACACTTGTACAGGAAGTCACTAAATACCCAAATGTTTGGCCTCTTCCTCATTTTTATAGACACTATTGGAACAATTCTAAATTCAAACACATCACAAGGTTAAAGTTTGCTGTCAAATTTAGAGCTACATGACTGTGTAACCATTTATGAATTACAAAGTTCCCTTCTCACATAGAGATCAACACTGTAGTTTTCCACTCAGAATAAGGAAGAATTCTTCACTGCAGCTGAAGTCAGAGTCCTTAACAAAGTTTCAAACAAAATACGTTGAGCAGGAGAGCCTGAAAGATTTCCCAACAGAAGTATTTTTGTCACTTTTTTCAGGCTCAAGTTTCCCCTTTCTCATACTACTACAAAGCACAGGATTCAACCCCAGCTAAAACGGAGGAAAGCGTGGAGTTGCACACTGAGCAGAAAGTGAACCACAAGCCAAGGATCTGCAAAATGGTGAAAGGACCTAATGGATTTGGCTTCAGTTTAAACATGATCAAGAATAAACCTGGATTGTTCATCACTGAGGTATTAATGAAGAATGAGGAACAAGAAGCTCAAGTAGTCTATTGGGCAGCTTCCTCCCCTCCATCCTGCAAACAAATGCAAGAAAAGCCACAGAAGTCTTTTCCAATGTTCTCAGATCAGAGCTAGAGTTGCTTAAGTCAGACTGACATTGTTGATCCAAGATAAAAAATGAGCACCAGAAAACATTCCTTCTTCTGTTAAGACATCTAGAGGGAAGGAGAAATCAGCTTTTGCATAATTTTTGCTTTTATTCATGAGTCTGGCACACTAAAATTAGTATTTTAGACAGAATTGGTTTTTAAGGTAGAACAGATTAATTACAGGAGAGACACCTTTGCCCCACTTCTCTGAATTCCACAGCTGGTGAAAGCCAAACTCCTGTCCCAAATTACACCTGTAACTTCAGCTTTCTTGAGAGGAGGGGTTCCACGCATTACTAAGGGATTTGTGAATGGTACTAAACTTTGAAATTATTGGATAGAGACCTCCAAATAGTTAGAAAACTGTTTTTCTACCTGTCTTCATAGTTCTACCATGCCACATTCCTATCTACCAAGATCAAGAAGCATCTTAAAATCTCAAACTGATGGGTTCCATGTTTATTACATCTGGGCCCATTGCCCATCCCAATTCCTTCCTGCCCCATGAATCTCCCCTTCCCCGTGCTTATTTCACCATCCTCTAGGGAAAGCAGAAACACAGCTGTTAATGAATCTTTCCAAGTTTTATGCCAATATCCTGCTTTGAACTCCCCTCTGCAGGTACAAAGCCAGGGCCCAGCTGGTGGAGCAGGTGTGGAAAACAACGACTTCTTGGTGGAAGTGAACGGAGTGAACGTGACCAACGAATCCTATGACAAAGTGGTGGCGAGGATCCAAAGCACTGGGGACAGACTGACACTGCTGGTGTGCAGCAAAGACGCCTACAGGTACTTCCAAGGCCAAAACATTCCCATCACAGCCTCCATGGCAGAGTCAGACACTTCTGAACCTCCTGCTCACACAGAAAACCATCCATCAGAGCCAGAGAGGAACTCACCTGAGCCAAGGGAAAGGGTGAGTAATCCTGCATAAGGCAGATGCTGAGGGATCGCACAGGGCATAGGAAAAGAACTTTTTTTTCAGGTATTCAGTTTTCCAGAGCTAGGACTGTTAAATTGAGCCTGGATTCTTGCAAGTTACTGAAAGGAAAGCTGTTATCACAACTCTTCCCCGCCCCTAATACAAGTGAGCATCTTTAATGCAAGATTAAATCACACAAAAATGCACATACAAGAGATTTTATGGAAAAAGTATAATCCACATACAGTAATCCCAGTGATGGGAAACAAGCAATACAATTGTGGAAGTGATGGGGAAAGTGCTTAAATACACAGAAAACATAAGGTTTGTGAAAACCACATAAAATAATTTCAAAATGGATCATTTTGGAGAAAGAACAGCAATTGAGAGGTTATGATGACATTTTCTAGGCAATGTGCTGATTTGAAATTATTTTACTCACTTCATGCCACTAGAAAGAATCTGAAACATGACTAAAGTCAGAGAAGGTATTCCTTCTTGAAACACTTTTAACCCTCTGTATGGTCAGCCTTAAATATTAAAATGCTTATTTTCTGATCATGCAAAAGAGACAGACAAGGTAAGACCAATAGTTTCCCCATTTATTTTTCATTAGCCTTGTCTGCAAGTTTTTTTCAAGAATGTCTTTGTTCCCCAAGCTGCATTTTGCTGTAGTTACCACTACTTTTGTGTTCAAATTGAACAGATATGAGAATTCAACAATAGAAACCCTCTATTGAACAAATTTCTCTCAAAATGTACTTCACCAAAAAAACCCTTCAACAACAAAAATGGTATTTGTTGGTTCATTCTGCCATCTAAACAAGTGTGTTGATTAGTGCAGCTGAAAACAGGAGTCTGCAACAGTGCAGACTATCAAACATGTTTACAAACTGAAAATAATCACAATGTCTTTGTTACTCCTCTGCAGGCAGACTCATCCTCCTCCTCACAATCAGCTGCCTCCACGAGAGCTGACGGCGACAACAGTGATGACACAAAGTTGTGAGGAGACAAAACTACGCCAACAACAACAACAAAGAAACGTGCCAAATCTTTTCTTCAGTTCTTCTCTGCTATTCCACCTCTCAGAACTTGGCTGTTCCAAGGAGTGCCAGGGCCACAAAGGACTGCAAACTCTTGCTGCAATAAACACTTCAGTGTAACTTCAATCCATTTAACACTGCAATTGTGCTCCACTGGCACAATTTCTGCCTTGTGAAGTGGGCACTCAGTCACTCATTTCTGGAAAGGCCTAAAGAACTTTATAACTTTAGGCAACTTTATAATTAAGTGTCCTGCAGCAGAAGCTGGCAATGTTTTATAGATTTGTAAGCGTTTTAGCCTGTTATGGATAAGCTCTTAATAAAGAGAAATTGATTTCTGCCCATCTCCCAGGAAAGTCAGCTCTCCCCCTAATCCAAGTCCCTCACCTCAATCTCTGTGGCATCTCTTTGCTTACACCACTATAGCTGCTCCGAAATGGCATAAGCCCAGGTACTCTGTGCGTTATGATCCTTTTTCCTGCTAACACTGCAGAAATTTCATTCAAAGCATCAAGCTAACTTTCTAACTCACAGCTCAAGATGTTTAATCACTATTCTGTCTCCTCTGCATCCAGCTGTGGATGACAATAGTATATGTAATGCAGTCATGCACGTTTGTCTAACCCCAAGTCACCACCATGTTGTCTTGAATGTGACATAAATGGTTCTGTAATACTGCTGCTGTGTACTTTGCCTCCGTGATGTACACCAAAGGCAATACAGAAATAAATCGTTTAGAGTGGTTATTTTCCCCTCTCTGAGTCTTAACTCTCACCAGCTACAATTTATGTTCCAGAACAATTATAAAACAAGGACTCAGAGCGCGGTCATGGGAACCTAAAAGTTTTAAGTCACAGGAATAAAATTTTTAACATACAATGTAAACAAGGCATGGAAGTGGTCTTTGACTTAACACTGAACTCTAGCAAAGAGGACCCCAAAACCTCAGCTCCACTTATGCAGAGAGAGAAAAGCTGACGCTCAGTAAGAGAAAGCAAATCTCCAGCTCCTGAGGATAGTAGGTACTAATGATACACACTAGCACACATTACATACAGAAATTGAGTTCTCTCCACTCCTGCCAGACAGCAAATCCTAACCACCTTCTGGCTCAAATCCAGCCAAATCTTTGGGACTGACAAAAAACAACTGTGATACTTGCATATTACAAAAGCTTATTTAATTCCACAGACTCAAACATTCAATTCCAGAATTGCTATCCTCCAAATCCCAATTATAAGTTGATTTTCAAAAGAAAAATCACATTTCTTGGTGCCTTCTGTGATGATGTTGTTCCAACAGTAGGAGGTGTTCCCTCAGCCAGCCTACCACACAAGTTCTGATGCCCCTGGATAGTGGTGTATCCAGGATTGCTTTGATTGCTTGGCAACGAACTGTTTCAAGTTTAATACACACACCCCCGTCTCTTCCAGCTGTGGCGCTGAACAAAATGAGCCACAGAGCTTGATGATGACACGTGTGGAGGTTCAAGGAGCCAGAACACACAGAGCAGTCCTGTCTCTCCAAGTTTTGCAGTTACACTGCCAGAACACACAGAGCAGTCCTGTCTCTCCAAGTTCTGCAACCCACCCACAGGAGCTGCAGCAGTGCAGCTGACAGGACAGAGAGCAGTGCATGGCTGCAGTTCTGCCTCAGAGGGCCATATGCTTTTCTGGGGCTTGTTTGTGTGCTAAATAGAGAAAGAGGATACTGGACAGGGCACTAACTAGGAATATCACATCAAACCAACGGTGATAGAAGTTGAACTGGAGCTCTCCCAGGACTTCTGTAATAATGGTGCGGTATTCTGGAGGCATGCTCATTCGGATCAGGAGCACTGATGACACAAAGTACATCCCCTGGAAGTTAAAACAGGGACAGCAGTTATTGCTCCATCACAGGCTCTGTGGCTAACAGGGTGCAGCACACAAAAATACTGTTATGTGTTTAAACACACACAAGCTATGCATGCAGAAATGCACATGGGTGTGCCCACGGCTCTCCATACTCACCATTATCTGTGCTAGCAGCAGAACAATAACATTGGAGGACTTGCTGCTGGAAATGGCATAGAAGAACTAGGGAAAAAAACCCAAAAATATTGGAAATAAGCAGTTAGATAAGTCTGATGTTCCTTAGGACAGTGTGAAAGGTACATACCATTCAGTATCTTTTCATCTAAAGATTCCCAATCAAAACCATACATTCTAGAGGGCTACCTGTAGCCTACTTTCATAAACCTCAAACGTGCATAAGCCTTTCATAAACCCTAGTCTGAAACATCAGTCTCCCCCAGCCAGTTGCACCTTGTGTTAAAAATCACGAAAGAGAAGTTTAAGCATAGGTACCAAAGGCCAGGTCAAGTCAAGGAGTCACATTTCTGTTAATTCCTTTCAGTCCTACCAGCAGTTTAAATTAAATAATCCAAATGTTTTTAATCATCATCTCATCAACCTTACCCATAAGGCCTTGCTACAGCACCTTTTTGAACACCTGCAATCTTCAGCATTTTATTTAACATCTAGATCCCTTCCTGACAGAGACTGGGGAAAAATCCTGCAAAAGGTATTCTTCCTACCTTCCTCCCTCTGCAAGAATTTATATTCAGATATTTAAACATAAATGCAAACTGAAAGTTTATACAGTACTTGTTCCTGTATCAAAAGGATAATGACTGATATGATAATTATTTTCTCTGTGAAAAACCACTTAATATTCCTGGTTCTTACCTTTGTAAGTGTGATTAACAACCCTCTGATAGAGGTAACAATGATTATTCCAACAAGAATAAAGGAAATATGCTGAGACCAGAATTTGACCTGTGTCAACAAGAAGAACACAGTTAAAGCTTTGACTAACCTCATGTACACCACACTGTACAGCTGTCAATTCTTCAGGGTCTTTGTCTCTCCTAACTGTACAGATGTCCATTGTAGACAGGTTTATAAAACAGACATTTTCACCAATATATTAGCAACTGTTTACTCCAAACACAAGAGATTTAGTTTATATGAAACACAAAGAACCCCATTTTCACTGGGATATCTTTTAGAAGTGTAAATGGCAGAACAACTATTTGCACAAACAATCAAAATTTACATCAAAATACTCTTTAGCTAAATATATTAATCTAAGAAGATTGTCTAAAGTGCTTCTAGTTTCCCAAAACAAAAAAAACAACAAATCACTGCCTCTCTGGCAAGACCACATCACCATCTCAGCATAAAATCAGTGTGAAAGCAACATTCATGGTGCATTTTCCTTTCCTCCTCAGTAAGTCAAAAGCCAAAGCCACATTCTCAGGGTCTATCACTTTTTCCCTAGCAGCAGGATTTTATTCAGATAAGATATGAATTGCTGAAAAGGCTGTAAGAATGAATAAAGGCTCACATCAAACTGGATTCCTAGGTAATTTACAGTGATCTCAATTCCTCTTGTGACTGGATCAGTCTTCCCTACACGGTCAAATACAATATTGATGGTTGCCTGCAAGAGAGATGGATTTACATTCAAGCAAAAAGGCAAAAGCATTTCTCACTCTCACAGGTGAGGATCATGCATGACTATTCTATTGTACCACCAAGGAAAGGGCAGGGGGTGGTCAGATTGCCAAAGAAGGCAAAAAAAAAAAACATGCATATAAGAATTACTGGTCTGATGCTGTATGGAAAAAGCCAGATCCAGAGTTTTATTTCAACCAAGGGCTAGCTTCAGAATTTCTGGATTTTAAAGAAACTAGAGCATTACTTAATGAACTGCATGCATAGCATAATTTATGCAGGGTATATTTACATACATCCACAGAAAATGCAATAAAACATTTACATACCATGAAGATTTTCCAGACACAATAGATGGAGAAAAAATAACCCAAAAAGTTAAAGTATTTTCCCTGGAAAGTTTTGGAATACTCTATTCTTTCCTGGAAATACAAAAAGAGGGAGTAGAACATAAAAAAATATGTCATTTTCACAGTCACCCACAAAATAAATTATAATGTAGCACCAACAGCAGCAAATACAGCCCTGTCTTTCTACATCTTTTAATTCAAATGTTTCTGACGTCCCAAGTGTTAATTCATAAGCTTGTGAATGGTTATAGGGCCATGGGGCAGACTCAAGGATGGATCTAAACTGGAAGGGAACTGTCACCTACCCCAAAGTTAAAGAACCAGATCCTCACTCCACTGCCTTACATCATTGCACCATTTACCTATTGAACAGGTTTCAATTTCTCATAACACATGTATTCTTTCAAACTACTCTGACCTCCCAACACCCATCTGGGCAGTTACTTGCTGTGTACCTTTGTTGCATGCAAGTCAGCAGTTTCCAGGAAAAGCTGCCGACTCAATTCTTCCAGGGCATCCACTTCTTGCTGGATAAGGGACAGATCTGGCAAGCCAACATAGTCAAGGCTAGAACACATCATGAATTGTTAATTAAGAACAAAACATTACCCACCTTCAGCCCAAGAGCCACATCTAATGGTTTGGTCTTTTCTTAGATCCAGATCAGCCTTGTCATTCAGCCTTCATGCTCCTCATTAATACAGCACCAAAGAAATCTCAAGGATGTACTTCATGCACACTACTCCAGTTTAAGGAGGTAGGCAAGATGCACACTACTCCAGTTTAAGGAGGTAGGCAAGACACAGTATTTAGGCAGTTGTGCAACAAACTTTATTCCTCTCCTTCTACATCACAGAACAGAAGCAGAGCTCTCAAAAGCTGCTGCTCCACTTTGATCAGTGTCCCCTGCCACTGAAGCGCATATCACAGTACGTCATCTCAGATCATCTTCATAAACAAAACTGCTGAGTAACTGCTCCAAGAGATTAGTGATTACTATGGAGAGTCTTTCAAATGGCCAAATTCTGATTTTAGCAGCTAGTGTGAAAGGAGAGGAAGAAGAGTCCTCAGCCTCAAATAAGCAAAATGCACACTTCAAATGGTCTGACAGAAATCATTAGTAAGCAAATCTGTTAGAGAAGTACAGACCCTTGTCATTCCCAACAGATCCCTTCTACAGGGGAGGTTGAAACTGGATGATCTTTAAGGTCCCTTCTAACCCAAACCATTCTGTGATTATGTGGTAAGTGTGCACATCAAGTGTCCCCTGATCCACTGTACAGCTCACCCAGGGTGATGCAACACAACATTTATAGAGCAGGACAGAAACATAAAACTTCTGCCTGTGTCACAGTAAAACTGTGCCCAAGGCCTGGGGAAAAGGTCAGACAGGGGACCTGTGGACAGACTGGAGCACAAACTTCCCAATAGACACTAGTCTTGAAATGTGTTGAAACACAAATGCTTTGTGACTCTCCCAACACTCTACCTCTCAAAACAAAGCAAGCTGGATCCACCTCCCAAGGTAGGTGCCAGCATGCAGATGAAGGATACTTTCACTGCCAGGAACAGATGTTGTAACACTTTTTATCATTCCCCAGAAGCCAGTGGGTCTGTTATGCACTTCTCCTCTCTGGAACATTGTCCTGTGAGCCACTGCTATCCTGAAAGAACAGAAAACACAAGTTCTTAGGAATATAATATTTTTATAAAAAATCAAAACAAGAAAAAGGAAAACAAAAATCGACCAGTTTCTTAGAAGATTCTGTGAGACTCAATTTACCGAAAATATATGTCCCATTTTTCTTCCCCTAAACACCAATCCCACTACCTAAAATTATCCTGATTAGCTCTGGAGTACAGCCCAGCACTAATCAAGTGAGATCCAATGAGACACTTCCCAAGTCTTCCATTCAGGATCCTGTTTCAATTCTAAAGGGATTAAAACCCAGTTAAAAATTCAGAATTCAAACTAATTTCTCAGTCATATGATAAGTTGCTTTCCTTTCCTCAAACACATGACTGTGTTATCTCAAGCTCAGGAATTAGAAGACTTCTCATGCTCCTCCCTCCCCTTGGACACCTCTCCTTTATCACAGCACATCTGCCTTTTCCATGGAGCTATGAGCTCCGGATGGTGTGCAGAGCACTCTGATATGCTGTCACTCACTGCTAGGCTGCATGACAAGCTGTTATGAAGCAGAAACACACAAATCCATTCTTGGACTGAACCACTGGATGCTTCAGGCAATCTGAATGTGACTCCTGAAGTTAATTCCAACACTCCAGCAGCAGCTGCGTCTCATCCCTCACACTTCCACGTGCACCGCGGCATAATCCTCACGAGCAGTGTTGGCTTCTGGTCTCGTTCCCTCACATTCCTCCCCACTGAAATTTGTAAGCAAGTTATCCATTCCTAAGCTGAAAACTATTCACAGGATTCTCAGGATGATCCATGATTCTGTGGTGTTTAGCCCCTTTCTTGTAGCTGCAGCCAGCATCACTACATTTGGCACTGAGCCCTCTTCAAGGCTGTTGATAAGCAGTGTAATAAAAAAAAAAAAATTAAAAATCATTCCATCATTCCTTTCACATCAGCAAAAGAAACACCCTTGGGGCACCCTACATACACATAAAAGCACATATGGCCACAGACTACAAATTACAGAGATCCTGGAATCCTGATAGCTGCCAAATGTAAGAAATGCATTTTTAATCCTTGCTTTCCTCGCAGTACACAGATTCACGTGGTCCTGCCCAAATGATCCAGAGCACTGCAGAAAAAATGCAGCAATGTCCAGATGAAGCACAAGGCTATAGATACACAAAGGCAAATGTCTTTTGAGGGGTGGCAGGAATTGCTGTACCCACTCAGTGGGCAGGAGTTCTGAAGCCCTCACAGGTCAGACCCATAGGCAAACCCCACACACTCTGTGCATGTAGATTGGTAATGATGTTGTGTGGTATTTGTGTGTCACATCAGCTGATCTGACTCTAACATGATCCAAATGAAGCAATGCCATCAGAATGCTGGCATTTCCAACCTGAGGATTACTTATGCCACACCTGCAAGAAAGAGCATAGAGAATCTGACAGCCTTAGAGGTGAGTTTCCATAAGGAATTGTGCTCAGGAAGGAGAGAAAAGTGATTCCTGTGCAAAAACCATCAGGGCAAACAACTTTCACCATCTCCTACTGACTAGAAAACCAGCATGAATAAGGGTTGGCATAAGCAATGTCAGGATCAGCAAAGAAAACAAAAAGCTTTATGTTCTATTGCCTTACAAATCTTGTGCTAACTGATAAGTTCTGAGCTCTCAGTAGTACTGAGAAGGTGGCCAGCACATCACTGAGAATTTATGGATTATGTAGCATTTACCCTGTGCTGGGAAACACTGCTATTCCCACTTGTTCTGCCAATTACTTGGTTGCATTTGGACTGACACATATCTATGTACCTATGAATTTAAAGATTTTGAATTCAGCTTTATATGAGCAAATAGTCCAATCATGCAAGCCATTGATCCCCACTGAAGTAAAAAAGAGAACAAAATTTACAAAACTCAAACTTCTGCTATTTCTTGCACAATTCTGAGACTACTTAGTTTTGCAGTTTGTTTTGGGATTTATTTTTTTTTTTTAACCCATATGCAGAAGCTTCATTATAATTCCCAAGTGATTAATACATGGCTCTTCATAATGGTCAGGAAGCTGCCATATTCAGATTTCCTGGTCATAGGATACAAGCCTCTGGCATCCTGACTTTTACCCAAACATCACTCTCCCTGGACCAAAAGTCCAAAAACAAAACAAAACAAATGAGCAGAGTCAGAAACAGCACTATCTTTTAACTTCAAAGGCAGTCTTTTAGTGTGCTTCCAGCCAATTAAATCAATTAAACTTGAGTAATTAAATTCTCTCACTACTTACTATCTTACACACGAACATACATACAGAGTCAACAGTTGTTCACCACTTAACAGGAGACTGTTCTGTCAGACAGTCAAATCTTTAAAGTGACTCCAGTAACTGGATTTATTCTGCACTACTAGCAAGACATGAAAAATGCAATATGGGTATAAAATATGCAGACAAAAATCTTTCCAGTCTAAATGAAATATTTGTTTCTACATTGTTTCTCAAAGTAGGTTTTTTTTAGCTTGGGAACATGGGATAAGCTAAACCCAGCAGAGTTGTGATGGCACACTTGTGTACTACAGAATATTCACCTTAGTGGTGTTTTACAATACTGTAAAACTTAACCAACATAAACCTTGCTGTTTGCAAGATACAGCTGTGTCCACACCAGCTCACTACCCTGCTTCAGCTTTGACCAGGATCATGTACAGGATTATGTACAAACCACTTTCTGACCTGAAACCACAATTAAAAGCCAGCTGCAGAGGCCTAAGGGTGCCTGACTTGGCAGGAGAGTAAGATGCCCATCCCACAGATTAGTTAAACTGCCAGCAGAGAGCTACAAATGGTCTTGGAAGCCTAATCTGTGCCACTGCAGCCACAAAGGGCACTACTTAGTGTTAAAACAAATCATGTATCAGGCCAGAAAAAAACACCACACAGTTCAACCCACTTCAGATTTCAAAATCCTTCTTATACCACTTCAACAACCATCTTAGACAATACTGACAGCAAATCCTTGAGGTAAACAATTTTGTGCTACTGTTGTCCTCTCACCTTTTTTTCTTGCTAACAATCATGTCCATAGTCTGAAGGAGTCGTCTCTCCAATGCCAGAATATCTGCATCTGTTACATTCCTGCAAAACAGAGACCCCCAATTAAGCCTGCTACCCCATTTCAGTGGGAATGTGCACATGCCCATGAGACAAAGAAAAACCTCTGTAAGGGGAATATGCAGCAGCAGTGAAAATGGTTCTAGCATGCAGACATGACAACAGCTAGATTCAGAAAAAAAGTAACAAGAAAACTTGAAACAATGCCACAGGAAAAGCAAAAAATAATCTCAAAAAAGCTGGACAAGTATTTCACAAGGCTGCAGTTACCTGAGAAAGTAGGACATGTAAGTGTATGGACAGTTGACAGCCCCAAATCCTGACAGCAAAGCCATGAGTGTCACCCCAATCACACCAACACGGCTGATGAGCTGTTCTATAGACAGGATTCCTGAGGGAGGGAAAAACATAGCATCAGCAACCTTGTTCTCTTCACTCTGCTCCACACTTGGTGCTTTTCTAACAGAACACAGAGCTGCTTAATTAATCTGACTGCCTTCCCTCTGAAATGACCCCAGGTAACAGGAGGGACAGACAGTGACTAGGAAAAGAAAGGGGTAGGAAGTCTCCTCCAGAAATCACATTACCATGCTTAGAAAGAGGGATGAGGAACTCCAGCTACAAATAAACTTAACAGAGATATATGGATATGTGGAGATGAATAAATATCAATATTTTGGTTCCAAACTAATAAAGAAGGTTTGCCATTTGCTGAGATGGGAACACAGATCATCCACCAGGCACTTATAAAGGAGTGTCTTCCATAAAGACACTTCTGAAATTATGAGATATTATTACCAAAACAGCTGGTCCTGGCAAACTGGCCTAAAAATGTCTGAACCCCCATCCCATTAGAAGCAACCCCTCCAGATCAGATACTAGCTGTGCTTGTAGGACAGTGGAGTTGGGAAGCTTAAACTGCTCCTGGCTGTTCAGTGTACATCTGCTTGACACAAACACATTGTTGAGGTGACCACCAACAAGGTCTTCTACCTGAGCACCAAGTGGACTCTAGAACATGTAACTCAACATGAACGTTAAGCCTGTGCTGTAACTATCACCAAGCACTGAAGCTGCACTTATTCTTAAACACAGACCTCAACCTGCCTTCCCAGGACACAGTGCCACGTGTAGTAAACACCACTCACTTTTTAGGGAGCTGGTTATAGAGCAGATGCCACACACAGCACATTTAAAGCTTACACGATTGCAAAGCTGAGATGGCTGAGCGCCAAGCCACATTTCATGCTTCAGAGAAGTGGAATGAATGATGAAAACAAGGCAAAAAGACTTCACAAAGGGAAACCGAGACACCCAGTCATGTGCAGCTGCACAGAGATTTACAGGAGCTACAGAATGTGCTACAATACACTGGCCTTTTGCCCCACACACTGTCAGAATGCAGCACTTAAAACAGAGGTGCCTTCAAAATGACATTACATTCCACTGGTTGGAGCAATGCTTCCCCCCCATGAAACTCACACATAAACTGAATGAATGTTCCATCACCTCAGAAAAAGGTAAGAGCTTTGTTAGAATACTGGTGTGTCATTAAGCATAACCTTCCTTCTGCTACAAGCTCCCAAATTCACGTTTGTTAAGTAAGTTGCAGTCCAAGGGAACCCCTTGCTCAGTGGTGCACTTCTCAGCTGCAGGACACTGAGAATCCCCATCCCCATCCTCACCTGCCTGAATTAGGTCATCACTCCCTGATGAAACCCACAACAACCCTGTCTGTACATGTAGGACAGCAGCACCACAACAATACAGCACGGAATAAACATGTAGAACCTTTGCTCTAACCTCATGTCTACACCTGGTAGGATAAGGCACTGTAAAACTCTTAAGTGAAGGTATCACACCCTGTACAGCACAATTAAAAACAGAAAACACCCTCCTACCCATTCTGGAAATTGGCAGGTGTCACACAGCCTCCCAGAACATTTTAGTGACCTGAAGAGGATTACCAAACCCCATGGCTAAGTTTCCACTGGATTATTACATCCTGCTAACTCAAGCACCTTCTGCAGCTCACAATGGATACAAGTCTTTCTTGGCAATGAACACTGGGCAGAGGGACCTGCACTATACATCAACTGCTGGATTTTGAAGGCAAATTACACAATTACAAAACAGACACACATTTTCTCTTAGGAAACTTTCAGGATCACAGCTGAAAGGCTGAGTAGACCCTACACTCATTGGTATCCTTCAGCTTCTCTTGTGAGCACAGAGTCAAGCAGCTTCCCACAGAACAGTAGGACTAAGCTGAGCATTTTGTATGCAGACAGACATATTCACCAATTTCTGTGAAACTGACTGAATTTCATCTGTTGGGAACAATATCCAAACAATTTTCCAGTGCAGGGGAAATAGAAGGGCAATATAAGTTACACAGGTCACAAATAGCCTGGTTCTAACAGTGTTAACAATCCTTCAGCACAGCCAGCCACATACTAACTCTGCTGGACCCAAACTAGCCCAAGTGCAGAGTATCTTCACACTGTAAATACTCATGACCAGAGACACCCAGGCTAATTCTGCACACAAACTGCTCTGGCATCCAGCAGGATTTACCAACCCACACTCCACAGCCTCTGGACTCAGGCACAGCAGGAATATGTACCAAAGCCATTACAACTTCCAGGCCCATTGCTGGCTACAGTGTGTGCAGCTCTGGTGTTTAGGCACACTGCTGTGTTCTGGACATAAGTGGACAATCACTCGTGCTAAGCTCATCTGAATTTAGTCACAAAAAAGAAAAACCTGACTGAAAAAAAGTCAGATGAAGAATTGGTTCTTAAATATGTTCTTAAATCTTAAATAAAAATGAAGAATTTGCTTCTTAAATAATCAAGGCTTAGACTCCACAATAGAAAGAAGTTAATAAAAATTGTGATCAACTTTTTGTGTAGTTTCTGTGCCCTCAGAAGTACACCATGCCTCTGCATTGTCTAGGTTCAGTTAGGACTTGCTTCCTTCAATTTTTCCTGTGGTACTGAAAGAAAAATAATGAAAATAATCCAGGTGTATCCAACCATTTCTGTCAGTCTGACAACCTTTAAATTGCAGATTTCAAAGCAGAGCAGACCCTCAGCTCCAAGAACTACTTTCTACAGTCTCAGCTGCAGAGCTGAGATAATAACAGCTCCAAAATAAAAGTGAAATAATAAAGCCTATTTCAGGAGAGAAAAAATCAGCAAGAAAATGAAACTTACCATGTTTTGGGCTGAGGATAGGAAATGGATCCCCCAACTTCCAGAAGAAATACATGAATGTCAACCACACAACACACGCAAAAAGTAGTTTCTGTCTGTGCACTAATGGAGAGGAAAAAGGGAGTGCTTGAAATAGGTTCTTCTTTTAGGGCTTTTTATAGCTTGCAACATTTCTACATTGATCTAAACACTACTTTGAGAACAGGTGCCAAAGTAGGTGTCATCTGACAGAGCTACAGCTTGCAGTGTGCACCCCTTCACCTCCCACAAGGCTCTAGGGTCCACATGGGACCACTTCACTGCTTTCTTGTGTGATCTTGAACGTGAATCTTAAATATTTCATCTTCATGGCAAAACTACACATTCAATATTCCCGACCTACGTGCCTAAGCTTCACACAAAAGAGTGATGAGTATCAACAGCTCAAGAGTTAAGTGTCCATTAGCCCATGGAAGAGGCCTCATCCAGACAAGTGGAAACAAAAAAAGCAAAAGTAATTTATTGTGCTTTCCTGCTTCCTAAGTGATTTATTGAGCTTCTCTGCCTCATTTCTTTTGCCCCCTAGCAGAACAACACAGCCTTGCCAAGGGTTGCAGAGTTTGGCTGCAAGTTTAAAATTGCAAAGGAACAAATCCCAGTAATATTACTCTGAAGTGCTCAACTTTGTTGAAACCTGTGAAGAAAAGCAGCATTTGCTGGGGTCAAGCAAAGCATTTCCTGACTGTTCAATAAATGGTTCATGATAAAGCATAAAGTTCTAAAGTGAAGGTATTTAGCCAGAACAAAGACAGGTCAAGGAGCGAAGTACAAGGACAGTGACCAAATTTATTTCTCATTTCTATTCCTAGTCTCAAATTAGTAGCTCCCCTGCCACAAACCAAGTACTCACATAATCTGATATTGCTCACAACAAAGTAACCAATGTAGAAGGGCACCATAAAGACCAGGATGAGCAAAATGACACACAGGTTCAGCTTCCAATGAAAATATCGAGAGCTGAAATAAAACCAAAACACTGATTAGCACGATATCATAATACAACAAATTTCTCAAAGAAAACTGTATGTCAGTGAAATCTTTTCAATTACATCAAGCAATGAATAATATTGGCTTAGAATATAGAATATTCTGGAATTTTTTTTTATTATTAGGGTAGAGGAGAGGGAGTTGTTTGGTTTGGGGTTTTGTATGGTTTTATTTTTAAATACAGAGGTCAGGAATGTGCATTTAAAACTAAACAACTATCCAGAAAACCACATTGGGTATTTTATCAAATACTGTATTTTCTATGGTTACTAATGCCAGTTGCAGCATGATTCATGTGACTGACTGCTCATCTAGTTGAACAGTAAATCAAAACTAAGTAGAAGCGGTAATTAATTTTCTAATGAACAGCTGAGTCAGAAAAGAGCTAATTCATTTTGAAAGGACTAAAAATATTTAATGTTGATAATTCAGCATGTTTCACTTCAGAGTGAATTGTCTCATCTGCAAGACTTTGCAAAGCAAGGTTTTATAAATACAAATATATCTCAACATGATCAATACTCCTCTGACCAAATTACAGTAGTCAAATGCAGGTGAGATTCATCTTGGGTGAACTGACCTTTCACTTTACTTAAACAGAAAAATACATGTCCCCATTCCCAATATTAACTCACATCCTCTTTATTCTCAGGGAAGAAGAAATTACAAGGATCCTTGTCACTTTTTCCTAACTAATTTAGAAGCAAACATTTTCATCTGTACTGAAGTCTAGCTCTTAATTGAAGCTTTTAAAGGCATTCTCCTCAGTAATCTCCCTGGCTGCCAGCCCCACATATTAATAACATACAGAACTAACATTACCTTTCATCAGTTCTGTACTTCTTGCCTTTCAACCCCTTTGTCTGCTCTCTTATACTTGTATGATGAGACAGAATAAGAAGAAACCCAATTTAGAACACTCATGTAGAGGCTATTTTCTCTTTCCTACTGACTTCCAAAGAAGACAGTTTTTAACATCCCCTTTAGGTAGAAGTCCTCACCCTATTGTCAAGAGAGGCTTCACCTTTGATTGACAAATCCTGTATTGTTAGAGATGTGGCTTTCACTTCACCATTATCTTCACATCTTATCCACTTCTCTGACCACCAAAGAAAAACCAGTGCTTAAAGTTTCTGTAATCTTTAGCATATGAAAAGTGCTCTTAGCATGATCTGAAGAGTTACAATACTTCCATAAAAGAAATTATTTCTTTTAACTTCACAAATGGATAAAGCCAAAGGCTAAAGCCCAGCCCTAAGGACTTACACCAATTGTTAATAGCAATTGCATGTTAGTAACCAAATTGGAAGCTTATGGCTACTAGTCCCACGTTCTGTCAAATAAACAACTGTTGCTGCACAAACATCTTTATTAAGTTGTTGACACTTTTCTCCCCTAATTTCCCCAAACCAAGACTAATCCATTAATTTAGAAATAAGACTGAAGATGCTGCAGAGCACAAGGCAGGCCAGTCCCTAGTGAGCTCCCAGACTCACCTGCTGTTCAGCACTCCCAAAATCTCAAAGATGATGAGCTCAAACATGGTACAAGAGAAGGCAAAAGTCACAGAGAAGATCACCTGCACCACATACTGTCGCACCTGCAATGCAGAGAACAATCCAGAGA